GTATCTCTAATTTTCTTGAAGAGATCTCTAGTCTTTCCCATTCTGTTGTTTTCCTCTATTTCTTTACATTGATCGCTGAGGAAGGCTTTCTTATCTCTCCTTGCTATTCTTTGAAACTCTGCATTCAAATGGGAATACCTTTCCCTTTCTCCTTTGCTTTTCACTTCTCTTCTTTTCACAGCTATTTGTAAAGCCTCCTCAGACAGCCATTTTGCTTTTTTGCATTTCTTTTCCATGAGAATGGTCTTGACCTCTGTCTCCTGTACAATGCACGAACCTCTGTCCATAGTTCATCAGGCACTCTGTCTATCATATCTAGTCTCTTAAATCTATTTCTCACTTCCACTGTATAATTATAAGTGATTTGATTTAGGTCATACCTGAATGGTCTAGTGGTTTTCCCTACTTTCTTCAATTTAAGTCTGAATTTGGCAATAAGGAGTTCATGATCTGAGCCACAGTCAGCTCCCGGTCTTTTTTTTGCGGACTGTATAGAGCTTCTCCATCTTTGACTGCAAAGAATATAATCAATCTGATTTCAGTGTTGACTATCTGGTGATGTCCATGTGTAGAGTCTTCTCTTGTGTTGTTGGAAGAGGGTGTTTGCTATGACCAGTGCGTTCTCTTGGCAAAAGTCTATTAGACTTTGCCCTGCTTCATTCCATACTCCAAGGCCAAATTTGCCTGTTACTCCAGGTGTTTCTTGACTTCCTACTTTTGTATTCCAGTCCCCTATAGCGGGTATCTTTGGGGTTTGTTATTCAGTCTATTATAGTTAGTGAGACCCATTAAAGCTGGCTCATGTGTACTTTTAAAAAAGTTTTTATTAAAGTTTTTTAAAAATTATGTAGTTTTCAGATTGTCCATTTCTTCTTGTGTGAGTTTTGGCAGATTGTGTCTTCCTACTGGAATTAGAATTGGTCTATTTCCAGTAAGTTATGCCCAAATTTGTGAGCATAGTGTTGTTCATACTATTCCTCATTATCCTTTTAATGTCAGGGATCTTCAGTAATGTTCCCTTTTTCATTTATTTTTAAAAATATTTATTTATTTATTTTTGTGCTAGGTCTTCGTTGCTGAGTTTTTGTTCCTGTATTCGGGGCTTTCTCTAGTTGCAGAGAGCAGGGCTTACTCTTTGTTGAGGTATGTGGGCTTCTCACTGCAGTGGCTTCTCTTGTCGCAGAGCAAGGGCTCTAGGTGCTGGTGCTCAATTGTGGTACATGGCCTTAGTTGCTCTGCAGCATGTGGGAGCTTCCTGGACCAGGGATTGAACTGGAGCCCCTTGCATTACGAGGCAGATTCTTAACCACTGGACCATCAAGGAAGCCCTTACCCCCTTTTTTCGTTTCTGATATTAATAATTTGTGTCTGCTCTCTTGTGCTCTCTTTTTCAAGACATTTGTTCATTCAGCTGCACTCGGTCTTAGTTGCAGCACGTGGAACCTTCAATGTCTGTTGTGGTCCACAGGGTCTTCTTTTGACCCACGCGGGATCTTTTGGTTGTGGCATACCAACTCTCAGTTGAGACATGTGGTATCTAGTTCCCTGACCAGGTATGGAACCCTGGGCCCCTGCATTGGGAGCTTGGTCTCTTAGCCACTTGACCATTAGGGAAGTCCAATGTGTCCTCTTTTTTTCTTAGTTTGCCTGGTTAGAGGCTTATTAATTTGATTGAACTTTCAAGGAAACAGCTTTTAATTTTATTAATTTTCATTTATTTACTTGCTTTCAATTTAATTTCTGCTCTGATTCTTATTATCACTTTTTATGCTTACTCTGTATTTAATTTGCTTTTCTTTTTGTTTCCTTAGGTAGAAACTTAGCTGACTAATTAATATTAGGTCTTGTTTCCCAGCCAATGAAGTCAGTGCTGTAAATTTCCCTCTAAGTACTACTTTTACTGTATCGCACAAATTTTGATAAGTTGTATTTTCATTTTCATCTAGTTCAAAGTGTTTTTTAGTTTGAGAGTTCTTCTTTGACTTGTGTTATTTAAAACTGTGTTGTTTAAGTTCAGTCACTCAGTCGTGTCCGACTCTTTACGACCTGACCCCATGGACTGCAGCATGCCAGGCTTCCCTGTCCATCACCAACTCCCCAGAGCTTGCTCAACTGTGTTGTTTCATCTTCATTTATTGAGATTTTCCAGCTATCTATTATTTAATTCTAGGTTAATTCTACCATGGTCAAAGATCAGACACAGTAGAATTTCTGTCCTTTTAAATTTGTTAAGGTGTGTTTGAGAACCTAGAATGTGATCTATCCTCTTGAATGATCCATGTGAGCTTGAGAAGAATATATATTCTACCATATATTGGATGAGACTTTTGATGTCATTAAATCCAGTTGAGTGATGGTGTTGAGTCAACTATGTCCTTGGTGATTTTCTTTTTTAAAATTTTATTTATATGGTTGCATTGGGTCTTCCTGGTGCGTGGGGGCTTTCTCCAGTTGAGGCCGGGCCCAGGTGCGGAGCTGGCAGCGGGCGCCGTCTCCAACGCGGGGCCCAGCCCCGGCTTTCTGGGACTAGTTGGAGTTGCCCCCAGTTCCCCCCGCGGCCCCAAGATGGAGGACATCGTCTCCCCCCGCAGCCATGACGGGAGCGGGGGACGCCTCCCCACCGGGCTGAGGGGAAGGGAAGCGCTTTCAGTTCTCGGAGCGCGCGGGGCCCCGCCGCCGGCCTTCCAGACCCCTGCTCCTGCCCCAGTCGCTGAAGCACCTTCCCGCCCAGGCCTCATGGGGCTCCCAGACACTGGATATGGAGGGCTAGGGGGACATCGAGGCCTTGGCACTCGCAGCCGCTGCGAGGGCAGGTGGCCCGGTTCCGGTCTTCGGGCCGCTGGGGCCCGACAGCGCTCGGCCACTGCAGCTAGCAACAAGTCTGTCAGAACAGAACAGTGTTCACTGCGACGCGCTGGTCGGGTATCCGAGCAGAAAAGGCGGGGACTGCAATGGAGGCTCGGGGGTGTGGCCTGCGGCTGACGGACAGGGCATCGGACCACCCCCTCAAGGGGGTCCTGAAGGAAGGCGGACGCAGCCAATGGGCGTGCCCGAGGCGCCCAGCCCGCCCTCCCCGGCCGCCAGTAAGGACGCAGGGGGCGGGGCCTGCCAGGTCGGGCCGCGCCGCCGCGGCCGCCGCCGCCGCCTCCGCCTCCTCACCAGCGCTAAAGCCGGTGCTGGACCGAGCGGAGTTGCGCGTGTTGCCGAAGCCGGGGGGGTGGGCCAGGGCTGCGGGAGCGGCCGCGAGGGCGGAGTGAGGTGGCCGCCGGCGGGCCTCGGGGGTCGCGGGGTGGGGGAGGGGCGCCTCCGTGGGCGCTCGTGGCCACCCTTGCACTCTCCCGGCGACGACCCGGGATCCGCAAGTTTGGGGCTGAGGACACGGCCCCCCGGCACCAGGTCCCCTCCTCGGGTCCGCCCAGACCCCGGCGCGGCGTCTTCTCACTGCTTATTTGGGAGAGTTTCTAATGGCGGACGAGGAGCGGGCAGGTCTCAGGCTCCGGGCCAACACGGGGGTTTCCGCCCCGCGGTGACGCGAGCTGCGGGCGAGTGGGTTCCTGAGGGACGGCGGCGGCGGCGGCGAGCGGGCCGAATCTGGGGTAGGCGTCTCTGCGGGCTCGAGGCCGCCCTCGCCCTCCGCCTCCCTCCTGTGTCTCTCAGGGACTGTGCGGTCGTGTGGTGGTGGCGGGGCCTCGGTGTTTGTGTACCTGGCGCCTCGGTGGCTGTGGGGTTGGGGGGTGGGGGGTTGTGGAGGAGCGCTGAGGCTTCTTGACTTCTTGTCTCTTTGCTTCCTCTCTTGTGAGCTGGTGCGTCCAGCTTGGCTATAACGAAGTCCGCTTTCATCCTTCGTTCTAGGGCCAGGAATCACCTTCAGGACAGTCTGGTGATAGTAATTAAGGAGGAAAGCGTCCACGGTAAGTAATTTTACCCCGCCTGTCTGTGTAATACAGTTAGCGCACTAGTAGACTGTGCTTCTGTGGAACTTACCTTTCTCTTACCTTGAAGGCAGAGAGCTAGTTTCTGGAGTGGCCCTTGTCCCCAGAGCCAAGTCAGGGAAATCCCTGGGAAAGCATGGGGAGTGCGTGCTGATATTTACACCACTGGTATTCTCTTAGAGTTCTAAGATGTTCCATTTTTAATGCTTTCTTTTTAACATATTTTTGCTTTCTAATGGTTAGAAATAATTTTTTTCCGTACTGTTGAATTAACTAGACTGATTGAATCTTATCGTTATTCTATGGTTGATGGACACAATACTTTGTGTGTGTGTTTGTCTTATATTTGAGGAAGATTTGTGTTTCTGTATCCTGATAAAACTCAGGCAAGCATCACATCAGGAGATAGTCTTTTTCTTTTAAAAAAAAGATATAATCTAGTACTTACCCTAGTCGCGATTCTAAGATGGACCACCGAATTACCAAATTGGTAGTGACAGTCCCATTATGAAGTTGATGTGTTTTTTTTCTTGTTACTAAAAAGTAAGCTAAGTGCTGTTCATTTTGGTGCAATAAAATGCCTAGTTCCCTGTCAGCTGTTGTGTTAATGGCTTTAACACCAACCCTTGCCTGAATCAATAATTTTGTAAAATATCTCAAAATGATTTAAAAAAACACCCCTCTGATTCTACATTTATTATCTGGGATTCTGTACAGGCTTAGGTCCTGCCTATTTTGTCCTTTCAGCTGGTCAGTTTTTCACTAGTCATCAAAAAGAAATTTGTGAATACTACTGTTTCTCATAGTAGTATTCCTGCCTTCCCTCTGCTATTGTTGCCTCTTGCCAGACTTGACTTTGCACTTACTCTGTTGTGCTTCATGGCACACTTCATTAGTTAGACAGTTTTTAGGAATGGATATTGTTTTGACTGGGTGATTTTCATAGGATACCTGAAATGATATTTTAGATTATGTGGTAGTTGTATGAGATGAAGGGATGTGGGCAGGGTTCTAGAGCTATGAGGGACTTTATTAGGGAAAGGGAACTAGTGGGGACTAAAAGATTGGAAGGATAACAAATCGCTGACTCAGTTATTACCACTTAGAAAAGCCTTTTTCTCAACAGCAGGTTCCTAGCATAGGTGGGCACAGTGTGGAAAGGACTAGGTTTAGTGCCAGCCAGATTTCATATCTGGTTTATATCTCTGCTCTCTTATTACTTTGGCAAGTGCAAACTAAATAATGGAACCTTTATAAATGCACATCTTATTCAGTTAAATACACTTTTTTATCCACATTTTATAAGTAAGTAAATTGTGTCTGTGTTCTCAATTGCTATGAAGATTGTAAAGTGCCTAGCCCATAAGTTATGTGAGACACAAACACACATTGTTAACGGTACCTACAATTCTTCTGGTTTTTGTCTTCTGATATTTCCTCAGCTTTATCTTTTAGTCCTTTTACTGAGCTTTCCATTTTTGCTAAGCTTTTTACTTCTAGAAGTTCTTGTTTAATACTAGAAATGTCAATTTTTTTATGGTCTTTTGCTTGTCATGTGTCCAGCTAGAGTTCTGATTGTTTTGCGGATTTCGATTTTGTTTTCTTTTTCTTGCACTTTTCTCTTTTTTCTTTTAACAATTTTTTCTTTTACATTATTTTTTATTGGAGCATAGTTGTGTTATATTTACATCATTGTGTTAGTTTCTGCTGTACAGCAAAGTGAATAAGCTATACCTATACATATACATATATCCCCTCTTTTTTGTATTTCCTTTCCATTTAGGTCACCTCAGAGCATTGAGTAGAGTTCTCTGAACTGTACAGTAGGTTCTCAGTTATCTATTTTATACTCAGTATGAATAGTATATCTATGTCAGGACTATTTTTCTTACTAGACGATTTCTTCAGATATTTTATAATCCTTGGTTGGTCTGCTCATGGTTAAGAATTGAGAAATAGAAAATAGATTGGAAAAATGAGTGGAATGTTTCAGCTTAGAGCTTCACTGTAGGATGAATCTTTTTAGGCCAATTGATGGAGAACCTCTGAAGTCATTATCTTTAGGTCTTTCATTTTTGGGGGGTTCCTAATTCCACAGAAGGGAGTTTTTCTGAGAAAGACGTTTTCTGGGTAAGAGTCTGCTGCTTGGAAGATTGAAGTCTGGATGTCAGCCCTCTGGAAATCAGCCGGGAAAGGGAACATTTCAAATACATGATATTGAAGCATTCACCAGTGCCTAGTAAACTTGGAACAAAGATCTTTTGTTCTATCCTCTACAAAGAATAAAAGTCTAGAACTTGGGCCAGAAAGGGGGAATGCCTGTGATCATCAACTTGGAGAAAGGGAAGGGACCTGGAATTTCACATCCTCCTTGTTTTAGCTGTCTGCTTCCTATTACAGTGTGATATATCAGGAGTTACAGGCTTTGAGCCTTTTGAGGATTCCGCAGCATAAGTCAGAAGTTTCACAGCTTTTTCCTTCACTGTTAGAGTTAGGCTGTCTCAGGCAGAGTTGGTTAACCACTCATCCACTTGCTCTTCAGCTTATCAAATTTTTTGCTTTTGTTTCTTCTTTAGTTTTTCCTTTTCTTGTGAGTAGGAACGTTACTGTCATTTATGGGGATTTTAGAAGGGATTGAAGTTAGTTTTGTGTGATCAATCTACCATCTCTTAAGTGCCTGTTACTTAGGTACTTCTACTAAGTAGTTCTCCTGCTGTTTGTTGTGATTGTTCATTTGATTCTTCCTTTTCTTATCTCTTTACATTTGTGAGTAGAACCTCGAGAATCATTATAAACATTTATTTAGTTTTTGATTTTAAATGGGAATCCTTGTAGTATATACTAACAGGAAGCTAACTTTGAAATTGATGTTATTTTTATGTAAATATACAAATATTTTTATATTACAAAAGATCTGTTACAGTATAAGTTCAGAGATGCCATAGAATGTGTTCTAGAACTTATTAAGTGATCAACAAATTTTTGTAGCATGCATCCTTTATGTTTCATAGAGCCTTGAAGATACAGATGTGCCTATAGGTAGCCAGAAATGAACCTTTGGAGCAGTGATTAAATATTTGAAAATACTTTCTTGGTGATTTTAATATTTGAAGGCTCATGAGCAGGTTTGTTTACCTTTATCATCATGTGCTAATCTTGTCGTATTAGTAACTCACCATTTCTATTTTAGCTATTTGTTTTTTGAGTCATTTTAATATGTGAGTTCTACCAAATTGTGCATAAACATAAATGAATATTGACTGGCTAGTAAATTATTCAACTTTTTTTAATTGAAGGTGATCTCAGGAAATTAATGATACTGAATTATAACTTAAGAATTCAGCAGACATTTTTGCAGCTTTAAAAGGCATATTTAAAAAACTATGACACTGAACTGCATACTTAAAAATGATTAAAATAGCATTTTTTGTTACATATTTTACTGTAATCTTTTGAAAAGATAACTGTAGCAATCTTTAGGAAATAAAAACTAGAATAAAAGTAAACACAATAGGGCAAAGGACCCTAATTTGTGTCTTTGTTTTAGCGTTAACTCTTATCTTTACCGATAATTAAATACCTTCTTTGCAAGGTCACTACCTACAACCTAGAGATAATTTGCATTTAAGAGTCCTGCTTGGGCTTCAGCCTTTTTAGTTAGGCTGAAATTCTAGTCCAATTTTTCTTCTCTTGGCTGCACTGTGAGGCTTGTGGGATCTCACTTCCCTGACCAGGGATTGAGCCCTGGGCCACAACAGTGAAAACCTGGAATCCTAACCACTGAGCAACCAGGGAACTCCCATTAGATTCCACACTTCTCTGTGTGGATTTTCCTTTAATTTTATATTAATTTTCATTGTATCAAGATGAAAATTAAATAGTTGTAGATGAATAAGATACCACAGAAAGGGAACTTCCCTGGTGGTCCAGGGGTTAGGACTTCGCCTTCCAATGTAGGGGGTGACAGTTCAGTCCCTGTTGAGGGAGCTAAGATCCTGCATACTTCTTGACCAGAAAACCAAAGCGTGAAACAGAAGCAGCATTGTAACAAATTCAATAAAAATTAAAAAAAAAAGATAACGCAGGAAGACTAAAATATTTAAGATTAATTAGACACTTGTTGAAATTCTAGGGTGGAGCCAAAGTATTTGCCTGAATACCTTCCCAGTAGAGAGAGATTTATCATTTTTACACTCTTTAATATGGTCTAGGCAGAGACCAGGGACTTGTATGTCCAGTTATCACAGTAAAAACCTGAGTCCTATTTTATCCCCATTTATAGTATGAACAACAGTTTATAGTTTAGAAAAGTAAAAATTAAGTGAGGTAATTTGCTTAGTGCCTTAGATAAACTTTAACTTTTTCTCTTTTTGGATAATACCATAGAAATATTTAAAACTTTTTTGTAGGTTTATGTTTATAGAATTAAGAAAATGATAGTTAAATTATATAGACAGTGACTTTTAATAGTGGTTAGGGTTAGGTTTTAACTTTTTTACAATCTGAAATTTGGAAATAGGTAAATACTTTATCTTTTTTTTTTTTTTTCAGAAATAGATGACTGGAATGAACTGTGCATAAAGAATCCCCTTCCTGTTATTTTCTTTGGGAAGATTAAGATAGAACCTAACAGCCACCAGAGGGCACCATGGAGTCCGCTATTGCTCTTTCCCAGAAATTGTACTTTTCTGTTTTAGATTTATTCAAATACAGAAAGAACTAACAAGAATTTATGTGTGTGTAAATAACAGTTCTTAAATTTCATGATTTAGTTTAGGCGAGTTATTGCCTCTTTCCTTTGAAAATCAACCACATTATAAGCTTATTGGATGTGTGTTAACTCTGATCCTAATTTTCATATTTCCTTTATAACCCTTTTTAACTGGTTCCTTAGATTTGTTATTTATCTTTGAAGTAGTTACATGAGTGTTAATTTTATTTCATCTTAATAAAACAAGGACTTAAGAAATTGTATACAGTAATTGCATATAATGTGGTGTCTATGAAATAGATTAGAGAGTCAGATTTCTTGGGTTTGACTCCTGATTCCACCCTTTCCAGCAATGCAGACTTACTATCTTCTGAGTCTTAGTTTCTTGATCAGTAAAATGAGACAAAGAATAGTTCCTACCTCACTTATTTAAGCTTTTACTGAATTACTGTATTTAATGATATAGCACCCATTAAGAATAAACATTATCTATTGTATGACTAAGTGCTATCACTTAAAATTAGTTGGGAAAATTTTAGAGTGGAATGTTACTTAGCATATTTCAGTAAGAAGTGTTTAAAATTGAATGATGACTGCTGTATGAGTTCTCTTAATTATTCAGCACCCCTACAGATCCCACCTCTTTACTGTCTTGAGCTTCTAAGAAAACTGAAGCCAGTATTTGTAAAGTTACCTCAGCTTTCCATCTATTGTTTCTACATACCTATAATGCTCCAGTTATAAATGGACAAACCCTTGAACAACATGGGTTTGAACTGCCCAGATCCACTTAATATATACATTTTTTTCAGTAAATACTATAGTATTGCAGGATCCAGGGTTGGTTGAATCTTTGGATGTGGAACCTCGGATACTGAGGGCTAGCTGTAGGATTTGAGCCTCCGTGGATATCCCGGGACCAACCCCCTGCGGGTACTGAGGGACAGCCATACACTTAACTTTTCCCTCTTTTGAGATAAAGGTGATTTCTTGTTCATGATTAGCTTCATTACCACCTATGCTGTGCATATCCTCATCCTCCTCTTGTCTCATCTGCTTTGAGAGCTTTGCTTCATTGGATCTTTCAGTTCTCCAAATTCTTCCAATTATTTGGATCTGGATCCTTTCCTTTGTCATTCTCTAGTGCATATAGGTACACAGAAGTGTTTGTTAAATAAAACAAGGCTGAGAATTTGGGGCCTAAAGTTAGAGCCCTGAGTGGAAATGCCATTTGGGCTTACCCAGATGTTTCCTGATCTATAAAATGAATTAAACTATATTTACCTCATGGGTTTTTTCAGAATTTTACATAGACCTATAATGTAGTATCTGGCAATTTGTGGACAATGACAAAAAAAGTTTCAGAATAATGTAATTACATAGTTATGTTGGAAGCAGAGAATTTGAAAAACAATGACGAAACACAGTTTGGACAATATAATAATTTTAGTAGATAAAGGTATATCTGGTATAATTGTATTTGGACCCTGAGTTATTGGTAATTGATGGAATTATTTTGTACTATTTTCTATTTCAGTGAAAAACTTATTAATAGATAAAATCACATAAAAGAATTTAAAATTTCACTTATGCTATTTAATTGCAATAAAATGTAATAATCATAGTTTACTCAAACTTCTTTTTCTTTTCTCTGTGTTACAGGTTCTTTGGCATGGATGAATGTTCAGCAGGAAGATTAGACTTGACCGAACAGACTCCTATCTTATTAGGGAGTAAAGCCATGGCAGCTAATCTCATGGATGTAGGAGACTCATTTGGTGACGCAGCTAGTCCTTTAGTTAATAGATCTAGAAACTCATCGGTGGAAGGTGATGATGGTGATGATGATGATGTTGTGTTTATTGAATCTATACAGCCTCCTTCAATTTCTGCTCCAGTAATAGCTGATCAAAGACATTTTGTATTTCCTGCATCAAGAAATAAAAAGCTTCTAGGACATTATTCTGTAATTCTTCCTTCATCAAGATATTTGGCTTCTCAGAAGGGAAATACAAGTGAGACAATAGTTATTGATGATGAAGAGGACATGGAAACAAATGGAAGGGAAAAGACAGTTTCTCCCAGTTTTATTGAATGGGGATTTCCTGGAACTAAAAACAGAACCAAAGATTTGGATTTCTCCACTTCCAGTCTTTCAAGAAGTAAGGTAAATGCAGGAATGGGTAATGGTGTTATCACTACAGAATCGACTGAAATTCATATTACTAGTGTTACAACTTTAGAAGCAGGTTTTAAGCTCTGAATGATGGGCGAGATATGAACTTAATGATTGCAAATATAACATCACTGTAGAATTCCAACTTGGGAGATGTCGCTAAAGGACTTCAGTCAAGTAATTTTGGTGTTAATATGCAAACATACACCCCGTCTTTAACTTCACAGACCAAGACTGCAGTAGGACCTTTTAATCCTGGTAGAATGAATGTGGCAGGAGGTGAATTTCAGAATGGAGGATTTACAACTCATCATAGTCCTGGTAAGCAGTGAGTGATACTAAATACTTTCCTTTCACCCTAAATTTGTAAGCTTTTGGCTTTTATTCTTAGTACCTATATCCAGTTAGTTTATTCTGTATGTGAAGTATTTTTTGTTAACTTTCATATTAAGATAGAATTTTTTACTTAGTAAAACTGCAATTTACCCAAGTGTTTTGTATCTTAAGTTTTAACTGAAAACTCCCATAATTCTTACCTCTATCTTTGTTTACCATCTTTATTTTAATGTAAAATTCTTAGGATAAAAAGATGGGTAGTGAACTAAAGGATTAAAGTAATATTACATAAGAATTAAATTTTATTTAATTTGTAATTACATAACTTGATCTTTCAATTTTTACTTTTCAAGTGTTTACTCTTGGACTGTTTGTCTCTGATTTTTGTTTTAAATTAGCACTTTATTAGTTTCTTCATTTTAAATTTGGAAAACTTTTTAAAATTAGAGACCTATATTTTAAATACACTTCTGTGGCTATTCATGTTCTGGTAAAATATAATGAAAGTTATTTAAAATTTAGCAAATATTTTTTTCAGCTTTTTCATGACTTAAGGTGCCCATTGTTTTTTTTTTGTTTGTTCTTTGGTTTTTGTTTGTATTTGCTTTTGGCCATCTTAGTGCTTTTGGCTATTGATCGTTTAGAATTTTAGAAAATAACTAGAAAGTAACTAGAGCTAAGAACCGATTCACTTATTGTTTAATGGAATGCTAGTATTTTTTTCTTTAAAATTTTAAAAAATTAATCTTTTTCTCTGATTATGAGAACATTACAGAACATTTGAAAGAAATCATAGTTAGAAATAAGAAATTAGTATCTGTTACCAACCCACTAAGTAGAAGTGACTGACAACTGTTAAAATTTTAGTTTGTTTGCTAACAGTCTTTTTGCCTCTGTGGTTTTAAAAATAGAATTTAGAGCATATTATATATAGTTTTATTTATGTTTTGTCTTTTTTTTTTTTTTACTGTTGAAACTCCACACACTAAATGTCTTTGTTTACATTGTTTATTATTTCTAAAGGACAGTTCTCAAACTTTTGAACTCAGTTTCACTCTTTGAAATGATTGAGGAACCTAGAGTTTTTTGTTTCTGTTTTTACCCATTATCATATTAGAAATTAAAACTTAAATTTGAAAAGTATTTAACAATAATTATGTATTTTATAACATTTTTAATGAAAGATAACTACTTTCAAAGAAATTTAGTGAAAAAAGTGATGTTCTGGCTTAGTTGAAGACAGTTAAGTATATTTAGCTCCTCAGATTCTTTTCTACATACAATGTGTTGCATTGTCTTCTTTTGTTTGCAGTATAAGAAGAAAATCTGGCTTCACATACATAAATGATTGTAGAATGGAGCAATATTTTAGTAGTCTTTTTAGTTAACTATGGATATTTTCTTTTCCTTTTGACATAGCTCCAAAACTTGATAAGTGGTCAGTTTATTAAAAGTTCTTACAGTGTAGAATCTGAAACTGGATAATGAACTTTTTATACATTGTTGCACTAAAATTCATTAATCTTCCAATGAATTTTACCTTTGAATGAATTGGTAACATTGTGCTTTCATTATTTGTAAGTGTTGATTCACTGAGTTAGCTAGGTCTTCTAAATATTGACACTTTAGAAAGCTAACAATGTTAGATGCAAGTTTTCAAAGATTCTGATTTTCACTTGAAACATCAATTTTTCTCATTGGCAGTAAACCGTTATTTTTTTGAAATGAAAAGCTTAATTTAAGAAAATGTAACCAGTTTGTCATTCTTTCAAGGCTAGTTCAGCCTGCAGTGCAAGTTTTGCAAGTGCTTTTCCACTCTGTCTCATTGTACTTTGTCAAGAAAAGGAAGTGGCTTCTGGATGCTTCCCCGTTCATCATACCGCTTCCTCGTTCATCATAGAGAGTATTAAAATGTAATCAGAGGCTGAAATTTAGTAAAATTCATACTAAGTTCTACTTTTTCATCAAGGACTTCTTTTGTATAGTAAATAATTTCACTGGTCTTTGTCCATGTTTCTTGGGAGAGAAGCTGAATCCTTGAGATTAACCAATTCATGAAGATTAAGGCTAAGGGAAGGTTGCTGGAAAGACCAACCATGTGATTCAAGTAGTTGGGCGTTTGAGCCAGCACAGCCTCCATGGAGGAGAAAGAGGCTGAGATTGTCTGATCACCTGCAGCAAATAATCTCATCATTCATCCCCAATGGTGATGAAACCCAGTGCCAACTCGACAGAGATCAGTGTAGCCTCCTGGTTGGTGAGCTCATCCGTGCCTGGTGGGTGATGCTACCTGATTGACAGAGAATGGGCAGAAGCTCTGCATTAGGATCCTCCCTCTCCTATGCTTGTATGCCTCTTCATTTGGCAGGTCCTGATTTGTATCCTTTAAATAAGACTGATGATAAGTATAAAGCTTTCCTGAGTTCTCTGAGTCATTCTAGAAAATTATCAAACCTGAAGTGGCCTTAGGAAGCTCCTAGATTTGCAGCCAGTTGCCCAGGAATCCAGGTGGCATGTGAAGGGAGGGCAGTCTTCTTGTGGATGTGTCTTTAAGCAGGGCTGGTGCTCACTCCAGGTGGTTAGTATCAGAATCGTGTTGACCTGTTGGTGTTGAAAGAAGAACAGCAGAAGTAAATGTGCCTGATAGTGAGGACAACTTTTGTAGTACAGTTGGGTTCCCCTGTGAGCAGTTTTACTCTCATTGCTTCTGCACCATTAGTGCAAATGCCAGCACAGAGAAAAAGGCAAATAATCTGTTTTATTATGGAAATAATTCAACCTGGCACATCCTCTTTTATTTCTTATGTCATGTTGAATAGGAGTGATCAAAGTATAAAGTCTTGTTGTCTGCTTTTTTTTGGCAGCACTGTGGTGCTTGTGGGACCTTAGTTCCCCAACCAGGGATTGAACCCCAGATTTCAGTAGTGAAAGTACCAAGTCCTAACCGCTGGACTCCCTTGTCTTGTTCTTGACCTGGGGTGGAGGGGATGCATTTGACATTTCATCAGTAGTATATTGATTGACATGTCAAATCTCTAAGTTTATCACACTTATTTTCTAGTGAAAAGTTTCTGTAGGTGAAACGTCTAAGTCAAATGTCAATTTTTTAAAGCTTTTCATGGTTAATGCAAAATGGCCCTCATAAAAAAATTGTGGGCTTTTTTCCATGTTGTAAATTGTCCTCAGGAGTAGGAATATTGTTTAATGTTTGCTAAACTGACCATTTAAAGGTGATAACTTCCTTAATTTATATATCATGCTCGCTTGCTTAGTAGCTCAGTCATGTCTGACTCTTTGTGACCCCATGGACTGTAGCCCACCAGGCTCCTTTGTCCATGGAATTTTTTAGCCAAGAATGCTTTGAAGTGAAGTGAAGGTCGCTCATTCGTGTCTGACTCTTTGCAACCCCGTGGACTGTACAGTCCATGGAATTCTCCAGGCTACAGTACCGAAGTGGGTAGCTTTTCCCTTCTCCAGGGGATTTTCCCAACCCAGGGATCGAATCCAGGTCTCCTGCATATCATTGAACTTTTAAAAATAGATTTGCAAAATATAAATTTGTTCATTCATATTTGTCATCTACTTATTACCATGTACATCTTTTATTATTGATTGAGTGAAACATGAGAAATAATATAAAAAACATGATCTCTGTGTTGAATGATGTGTCAAGCTTAAAAACAGTTGAAGATGTTGAAGACTTGAAATAATGTTCATTGAAAAATCGTTCTTTTGGATCTGTTCACTCTTCTTTTAAAAAAATTTTATTTCTAATACAATTGATTTGTTTCTTTCACTTATTTATTATTTTGTAATTATTTCCTAAATTTTAGATATAATTTGTGGAAGCATGAATTCAATCTTATGTACGTGTAAGCTCTTAAGTTAAAATCAGAAGCCTTGCCATGTATATCTTTTATGCTTCAGCCTTGACCCATTTTTCACTTTCTGGAGTAAATTGAAGTTGTGTATTTAATGGTAAAGTGGATCAGTAACATGCTTTTCAATGTAAAAGAATAGCACATAAACTTGATACTTAACTATAAAGGAGCATACTGTGGTTAGATGTGATACTGTCACTCCACTCAGATAGTGGACATAATTGAGGCTAGCAAAAGTTGTTTAGATTACTCTTAGATGTATTTTTGTTCTTGTCATCCTTTTATCTCATTAATTCAAAACTGTGTATTACTATGATATTTTCTCATGACATGAAATATCAGTGACTTGAAAATATAACAGAAAAACAAGCATTAAAGGACTCACTTGACATTTATTCATATATATGAAGAAATTCTTAGCTACATTTGAACTATTTTGTGTGTGCTGAGGCAATTCCTTTCTGTTATCTATGAAGTTTGAATGAATTTACAGTGTTCTTGGGTTCTCTGAAGTTCTACTTTGGGGGACAGAAGTTACAGACTATATCCTTTTAAATAATACCACTTGGTCCAGAATTCTTAAGAGTGTCTGCCAAGTTGTCAGGTGAAGAGTGGTGGTGAAGATGTGTCAAGCTTTCTGAAAGGTGGAGTCACTTTTCAAAAGGAATGCCTTGTTGCTGCTTTTTTCTTTGTTTAAATGGAATATAGCACCTTGAAAGCTGTCTAATTTTACTGTTAACCCCAAATTTTGTTTTTACCTGCTGTCCGCTTTGGTAAAACTAACGAATTTTATCAGAAGACATACAGAATAAGATGGCGGCAATTATATTACTGTTGTAATTGTTGTTGTTATTCAAAGTCAAAGCTCCCTCAAAGTGTCTTACTTTATTTGCTGTGTACTTCCCACTTCTGCAGAATGAATATTTTGCAGCACAGGAAAAAAAAAGAGCAAGATGAGAATTTCTGGAGTTGAGTTATATTTAAATATATGGGTTCAGATTTTATCCTATAAAATTATGGCCCTGCATAAATTACAGATAAAACTGTTTAACAGCTTATGAAAATAGGATTATGTCCATTAGAATGGACTTTGTGTTATTTAATTTTTTTGTTAACCTTTATTTAGGATATGCTGTATTACACTGAAAGTTCTTCGGTCATCATATATCTTTATGTAAATGGAAAAATCTCATCCAAGAGAATACCTGGAAATTGTTCTTGACATCTGTGTTGTATCTTTGTTGGATTATAAGCATTTCTGACCTGGATACTGATTCTAGAAGTTCTGCTTCTGATAATAATAGATTTTAAACTAACAATTGATAGGTAACTCCTGTCCCTCCTACAGAGAATAATGGGGGGAGACAAAATGTATAAAATGTCAGAAGCATTATAGAGCTGCCAATACACTGGAAAAAAGAGATTTGTCATATCTGAGACGACCCTATCTTCCTGGGGTTGCTCTTCTGTAATGCGAGTGTGGTCAATTCCGGAAACAGCCACTGAGAGTCAAGGGGGACTTTTAGCAGTCTCATGGGGGCCTGCAAGGAAGGACACTGGTTTGAAAACAAACAACAACAAAAACCATTGACCTGTGGATTGGGAATGTGAACATAATCCAGAATCTCAATGTTTTCCCCAGTTTTTCATATAGAAATAGTAGTCAGGGATATGAGGAGGCAGGCCATCTAACAACACAAGAGAAAAGAGCAGATACTAGAAGTGAGTCCATGAGGGGTGTGATAATAGGATTATCAGTCTACATTTTAATTGTAGGTTAACTGTAGGAACAGCTGAAGAGAGTGTGGATGAACTAGAAGGTTTATCAGAATATTATCCAGACTGAGTCAGAACCAGGAAGGGGGAAATGCAGAAAAGAATATAAGAGACTTAGGATACTTGATGAAGAAGACATGTGATTAATGTCCCAGGAAGAGGAAGAAACAAATGAGGCAGGAGAGGTGTAACTGAAGATATTCTAAAATGGAGAAGAAACATTAACCTTTGAATGCGAGAATCTTTACAAATACTGAACAGGATAAATACCCAGGAAACCATTAAAAGACATGTATAGAAATCATGGTCAAAAATTGGAAGACAGTCCTCCCCCTTTACATTATAGCTTCCTCCCCTGAGTAGCAAAGATTGCTCCTGTGTCCTGCCCAGTCTGTGTCATACACAGTGAGGTGTCGCTCAAGACCTTCCTTATCAGGTCCCCCTACCCAGTAAACTGTTGATGTCCCCTCGGCCCAAAATATTGGAAGCAGTCAAAATGTCCATCAGAAATAAAGTGATAAATAGTATCAACCCCATAATGGAATACTCAACAGTGGGAACACATGAACAGCTATCTTCAGTGTGTGTGAAACTCAGGGTACAGATTACATGATTACGTATGTGAAATTCAAAATAAGACAACTACTCTGACGTCAGGACGGGTATGGCTTGTGGGAAAGAAGGGAAGTGATTGAGTTGAAAAGACATGAGGACCTTTCTGTGTGTTTATCTGGGTGTTGGTCATAAAAGTATAGATGTGTGCATGCTCAGTCGTGGCTGACTCTTTGTGACCCTGTGGACTGTAGCCCACCAGGCTCCTCTGTCCAGTGGATTCTCTAGGTAAGAATACTGGAGTGAGTTGCTATTGCCTTCTCTAGGGGATCTTCCTGACCCAGGGATCAGACCTGCATCTCCTGTGGCACCTGCATTGACAGGTGGATTCCTTTATTGAGCTCTGCACTTAAGATTTACAAGCTTCATGTGTATGTGTTGCTCTTTAACAACTGAAAGACCCCACTGAGACACTGAAGTAACTTCACTCATAGACCAACACTTAAGAAATGCTAAGATGTTATTCTTTAGGAAGTAGAGTTTGGATGTGGGAAGAAAGAATACCTAAAACTCAGATAGTGTGTCTGGCATGTACTGAACTCAGGCAGACCACCTCTGCCTTCTAAGTCTTGGTTTTCCTTGTGTGTAAGGAGGGGTTTGCATTAGTCTACTGGGCCCCTTCTCTTAAATTTACTCTGGGGACAGAGCGTGGAAAAATGTGATTGAGACTTCGTTTATTTAACCTGGAGACACTAATATAATAAATAAAATAGGAATTTGATGGAAGAAGAAACTTTGAGGGACTTCCCTGGTGGTCCAGTGGTTAAGAATCCACCTTGCCAGTGCAGGGGACATGAGTTCGGTCCCTGGTTTGGAAGATCCCGTATGTCACGGGGCTGCCTGTGGGCCATGACTCCCGAGCCTGTGTTGTAGATCCAGTGAGCTACAACTACTGAAGCCCTTGGGCCCTAGAGCCCTGCTCAGCAACAAGAGAAGCTACTGCAATGAGAAGCCCCTGCACAACAACAGAATCCCAGTGCAGACAAAGCTAAATAATACTAAAATAAACTTGGAAATTAGGATAAATTAAATGGTTGCAGTATGAACAAAGAAAACATTTGCTTTATTTGTGTATGCATCAAAGCTAAAGTGAAAAAAAATTACAGAACCTGTTTTCTTAGCAGTAGAAGTTTCACTTTTCATAATTACATATAACTGTGTCCCCTTTAAGTGTGGGTAAGTATACAAATTTACAAGCCCAAAGAATCCCTTTGCGGTTCTGTGGTTGGGACTCCATGCTTTCACACTGAGGGTATGGGTTTGGTCCCTGGTCAAGGAACTAGGATCCAACAAACCACCTGGCATGGCTAAAAATAAAAAGCCCAATATTTTTCTTATTTCTTCCATAGTAATGGTAATGGGAAATCTTGCAGTGCTTTGCATTTATTTCTGTTATTAAATCTTTGTTATCCACATGATCTACAGAGAATTTGATCCCAGAATGCATCCAGTATTTTATAGATGAACATGTAATTTTTGTTTTCTAAAGAGATAGTTCAGAATTAGGCAGGTGAAGCAATAAACTTATGGGCATTTGGTAATAAAAACTATCAGGGGAACTCTGGCAGCCCAGTAATTAGAACTTCAAATGAGGGCCCGGGTTCAATCCCTGGTCAGGGAAATAAGATCCTATAAGATGTGTTTTACAGCCAGAAAGAAATCTAAAAACTTTATTGGAATATACTTCATGTTTGCCAGCATATCTTTCTGTGGAGCGAAAATTTCTTTGGTTACTTGTTCTGTTTTGTTTTGGCCTATTAAGATAAAATGTCAAAAAGGACAAACATGGGAATTTAGAAGTGAAAATAGAATTGTTAGTATTGCTAGAATTCTGAAAGTTGTCTTTAACTGTAATAAGTGAAGGGGCCATAGGCCTTTTGCTAATGACAAAAGTATTTTTGAAGAGCAATTACAAAATAATTCAGTACTCTTGGGCCATTTTTCTCATCTCACTCTTGGGCTTTCTCTCAAAGCTTCATCATTACCCTGGAGTTAATTAGAAACACAGATCCCAGGCCCCTCACTTGACCTACTAGTTTAGAATCTCTGTGTAAACAAGATTCCCAAATGATCGTATGCATGTTAAGGCACTGTAACCCATTCATAACCTGTACCATTTTGAGGAAAACAGCAGTCCCTGTGCAAAGGTAGGAGAGCTGGGTCTCCTGCCCATACCACCTCACTGATGCCTGGAAATAGTCTACAGTAACTGTAGACAGAGTTGCTTTAAAATGCTATGTCTAAATTACATGCATTTTGAAGTATTATGGGGGGAAGTGTACTAATATCTACAAGTTACTTGAACTACATAACAAGATAGATTATTTAGAGGGATGAATAAATAGAAAGGTGTCATAAAGCAAAAACAGTAAAATAGTATAGTATCTACATGGTGGACGTGTGGGTGTTCACAGTAAAATTCTTTAAGCTTCTCTATGCTTTAAATTTTTCATAATGTTAGGGGGAAGCTGTTATCAAAATGGATATCATATAATAGATTTTTGGAGAAGGAAATGGCAACCCACTCCAGTAGTACTCTTGCCTGGAAAATCCCATGGACAGAGGAGCCTGGTAGGATTATAGTCCATGGGGTCCCAAAGAGTTGGACACGACTAAACGACTTCACTTTCACTTTTCACTTTCATGCATTGGAGAAGGAAATGGCAACCCACTCCAGTGTTCTTGAAGTATTTTTCTGATGTGAGTTTTTAACTGTTTCGTGACTTTCTTGTGTGTTTTATTTTTAAGATTCTTGGATCTCCCAGTCAGCATCCTTTCCCCGTAATCAGAAACAGCCAGGGGTGGATTCTTTATCACCAGTGGCCTCGCTTCCTAAACAGATTTTCCAGTCTTCTGCCCAACAGCAACCCACTAAAGCAGCTAAAATCACTTGTGCAAACTGCAAAAAACCTTTACAGAAGGGACAGACAGCTTATCAGCGAAAAGGATCAGCTCACCTCTTCTGTTCTACCACCTGCCTTTCTTCCTTCTCTCATAAGCGTACTCCAAAGAAACGCAATGTGACATGTAAAAAGTAAGCTGTACCCTTCAACACGCCTCCACATGATTGGACACTGGTAGTATGAATGTGTGTTCTGAATGTCCTTACAGAGTTGCAAAGATTGATGGGTAGAATCGATGCACAGGTGTCTTCAGCTTTACAGAACTTATCTTAGTGTACATCAGAGCTGTGGGTCATTTGTACTGTGCTTACTCTTGGCAGGAAAATGGAGTTTAGGTATAGAGATAAATGGGCCCTCTCTTTTCCACTGCCTTTGCCTCACGCTTTCCCCCACCCTCTATACGTTGTTTCTACCTGGTTGCTTGTCCCCTTATGACTTCTAGAAGTCATAAGAACCTTGGCAAGGTTCTAAAGGTCATGACCTGTGATGACAAAAATTGCTTTAATTGATTTATGGTTATTTATTTGTTTGGCTGCGCTGGGTCTTAAGTTGCAGTACTTGGGATCTTCAGTCTTCATTGCGGCATGTAAGATCTTTAGCTGTGGCATGTGAGATCTAGTTTCCTGACCAGGAATTGAACCCAGGCCCCCTGCATTGGGAGCACAGAGTCTTAGCCACTGGACCACCGTGAGTCTCAACAAAATATTTTTATTTCTGAATCTCTTCCCATATTATTTAGGAACTCTTAGCAGTGAAACCAAAATGTGGATTTTTCTGGACCCAAAAATTATAGTTGATTCCTAGGATTAAATCATGAGAAAATGAAAAATGTCAGTTGTTATTCATATATTTGACTTCTATTAAAATGCAGTATTCTGGGGAGTTCCCTGGTGACTTCTGTGGCCTGGCTTCAGTCCCTGGTCGGGGCGCTGAGGGAACTGATATCCTGAAAGCCACACGGCATGACCAAAAAGAAATGTTCTTAAATTGTGTCTGTCCTTTGCATTTCAGAGACGCACCTACCAAAAAAGCTACCGTTGTTTCTCAAGGGGAGTCAAGTGAACCCTTCCCAAAATGTTGTAGTACGTCTCGTTTGTCTCCCTATGAAGACAGCCAGAATCTTCGAAAAAGAGTTCTGAACAAATCAAGATGTACAATCTGTAATAAACTAACAGAGGTCTGGAGTTTATTTAAGTTACTTAAGTTATCTAGATTAACAAGGATAATTTTAACTTTAGGTGCTATTATATGTTCTGCCGTCTACCTAATAGATGTGTCCTGAATCCCCTCAGTGAAGTTGAAGGGAAGAATAGGCATATGTTAGAGTTGTCTCCTAACAAATGTCCCCTTCCCATAGAATGGGGAGTAAATATCTGCTTGTGTGGAATTGAATGCAGTCATAAAGAAAGCAGTGGTTTCATGGTGGATTTTGTCCTTATTAGCAACACTAAATGAGAATGTAGGTTCAGGACATGAAGGAAACAACCAGTCCTAGAAGAACACATAGCATAAGTGGAATGGAAGTATGTAGGTCACCCCACATTTCCTAGGTGGCACTGCCGTCTTCCCAGGCATTCAGGGAGTGCTCACTTGGCTGAATTTAGTCTGGATTACGAGGGAGCCATGCAAATTCTGGACAGGATTTTATCTCAGCTACCACAGAGCTGAGCAGAGCAAAAACTTATGTCCTTACAGACACCATCCTGAAAGTGGGTGATAGTGGTGCCCACTGGCCACCCCTATCCCTGTTTTCTAGGGCAGTGAAGTTTATAATACCTACAAATTCCCCATCCATTTGTTTTTAATCAAGTCATATTAAAACCTGTTATCTAATTCATTTTCTGTTATTCTTAAATATCTCTGATTTTATTGCTTTTTATTCTGTGAATCTTATTTTTCCTTTTTATAAGAAATCAAAGATAAAAATGAAAGGATAGTGAAATGTGCTTTTTAATGTCTTTTACCTGAATATTTTTTCCACTGAGAAATTACTGGAGATTCTTTGTTGGAAAAAAAAAATAGATATATCAGGTATGATGCTAATCTGGTTGATTTATTTAATAAATTGGTTTTTCTTCTAGATTCGGCATGAAGTCAGCGTTAACAACGTGACACACAAGCTGTGCAGTAACCAGTGCTTTAACAAGTACAGGCTGGCCAATGGTCTAGTGATGAACTGCTGTGAGCAGTGCGGCGAGTACCTGCCCGGCAAAGGAGCTGGGAACAGTGTCCTGGTTGAAGGTCAGCAGATGCGATTTTGCTGCCAAAGTTGTGTTAACGAGTATAAACAGGTAATTCTCTTTTAATGAGTTTTAAATGATCAAGCTTGTAGTAACTTCTTCCTGTTAGCTTACATTAAGCAGATTTTTCTTAGAATCTCATTTAATTCCTTTGTCAATCTTTCATTGAGTATTACTCTCAAATGAGTATTGAAATTGATTGATGTAAGTAAGCTTGCTTTAAGACTTGACATTTTGCAGACATTACAAGGAGTAATTTTCCCCTGTACCATTTTGCATCCCCACTAGTTCCAATTACTCTGTATTCTCAACAATATTTGGTGTTGTCTGTTTTGATTTAATATATTCTAGTGGATATGAAATGACTATCTCATTGTGGTTTTAATTTCCTGATAACTGCTGTTCCTTTTTTATCATGCGTATATCTTCTTTTGTAAAGTATCCAAGTCTTAGCTCATTTTTTTTTTTTAGTTCACTTTTTTTAATAGGTTGTCTTTTCTGTTATTGAGTTATAGGAATTCTTTATATATTCAGGATACATTTCTTTTGTAAAATAAATGTATTTGGAAGATTCTTCTACTGGACAGTGTTTTTGTCTTTTCTCAATGTTTTTGAAAAGCTCAGGTTTTAAATTTTGATAAAGTCCAATTTACTGTTTGCTTTTCTGATTAATACTTTTTGTCTCTTGTTTAGGGTGTCTTTGCCTACCGAGGTTATGAAGATATTTACCTATCTCGTCTTCTTTTTAGGTTTAGATTTTATATCTGTGATCCATCTCAAGTTAATTTTGTGTGGGAGGGCTTTCCTGGTGATCCTGTGGTTAAGATTCTGCCTTCCAATGCAGGGAACACAGGTTCAATCCCTGGTCAGGGAACTAGATCCTACATGCTGCAGCTAAGAGCCTGGCATCAGTGAGTGGGGGCCAGAGATGCAGACAGTCCTGCAATGGCCCAGACAAGCCCTCACAGCAAAGAATGACCTGGCCAATATATCATTGGTGCCAAAGTTGAAAAAGGATGAGAAGGGAGCTGGAGGGTGAGTGTGTGTGGTAAGCACAGTGGCAGAGAGCACTAAACTTGCATCCTCCTCATTGAGAAGTCGACAGCGACACCTAAAACTGGGAGGAAAAATTAGTAAATAGTGATACAAACATGTTATTTTGATACTTGGAAATAAACATGGAAAGAATCATCTAAAAATGTTCAAAGTAGTTAACTTCTGGGAAAGGAGGTGTTTTAATTAATTGAATTATTTCTTTTAATTAGTTGGATGTAACTAGTTGATTCTCTTTACTAAATGTTTATTAACTTTCAATTAAATAAAACCTTCAAAATAGTGTTAAAGATACTGAAGTTCAGAGAAGGTCTTCCCCAGAGTCACACAGCTAGATTCGACCTCATGTATCATACCTTAGGTAATGTGAGGAACTAAGATCCTGCAAGAAAATAAGTATATGTACATGCTCTGTTGGCTCTGATGCCAACATTTAATTATATGTAAGCCTTGAGTTCCCTGATGATCTACACTGGATTCAATTTAATGATCCCCAGGAAGATGAGTCTTAGATGTGGGGGAATTGTGACAACTTGACTACTTAATCATTAACAAGACACTCAAGAAGGAAAGAAATAAGACCAAGGCTTGAGTTTGGTTGTGTAAAAAAATAACATTAGCAATAGTCCTTGACATTCTGTCTCTTCTTAAATATGCTCTTTTGGTATCGTCTTACCAGTCCCATAGTTTCAACTAATATGTATTTTGATGACTTCCAGAATATATCTGGAATATATATTTCTTCAGTTTCACACCAATATGTCTGCCTAATTTCCATTTGAATGTTCCACGAATATTTGGAATTCTGTCCACAACTGACACTCCAAGCCTGCTTTCCTTCTTTGTTTCCCAAATCAGTAAATAACCTCCCATCCAGTCAGGTGTTTAAGCAGAAACTTTATGTTATTCCTTACTCCTCTGTCTTAGCCCCCAGGGCCACTCATTTCCCAGCTAACCTGGATTCTACTTCCTAACCCACTCCTGGCTCTGCCCTGTGCCCACCACTGTAGTCCTAGACCTGACCACTGTCCCTTCTTGCCAGAATTGGTTCCACAGCCTCCTGGTTGTCTCTGTTTCCTGGTCTCCCTAGACACTGGAGACCAGGGCGCAGTCAGGGTGGTCTTCCAGGGCACACACCACATCATGTCACTCCTGCTGTGCCTCGGTGCTGCCTCTACATGCAGGACTGCCTCAGAGCAGCACTCTTGGTTCTTGAGCTCCATTGTTTACTGTGGTCAGGTTGTACCCTGTACTATAATACTACAGCTAGCAAATGCCCTTCACAGTGCATACATTTCTTATTTTGACTTTCTTTTGTGTGTGTGTGCATTTTTATTTTATTGACTCCAGAATAGCTAATTTTAATTTTTATTAGATGGAATCATATACGGTACCTTGTGACTGAATTTCTTTCTTTTTTTTTTTTTTTACAGTCCAGGTCTTTATTTTTACACCCTTCAGGCCATGAATTCATAGGGAATGGGTTCCAACAGTTCAGGTTCCTTTCCATTGGTCCTCACAAAGTGTGCTTCTCTGGGTAGAGCAGGCTGGCGCTTCAGCTGAACCCAAGTCCCTTTCTCTTTGGCTTCCTTCTTTTTCTGATCATTTTCCTTCACATGTTTTAGGAAGCTATCTCGGCTCTTAGAGTGCTTAATATGCTCGATGCGCACATTAATTCTCTTGGCAAGTATCTTGCCCTTAACTTGTTTGTTTACAATGATGCCAACAGCATGCTGGGTAACATTGTAGACTCTCCCAGTTTTGCCATGGTAACATTTGTGGGGCATTCCTTTTTGAACAGTACCCATTCCCTTGATATCTACAATATCACCCTTCTTGTAGATTCGCACGTATGTGGCCAAAGGAACAACTCCATGTTTTCTAAAAGGCCTAGAGAACATGTAGCGGGTGCCCCTCCTCTTTCCCTTTGTGTTGGTCATTTTGGCGAATTACTGGAAGATGGTGGTTCCGGCCGAAAAGCCCTTGTGACTGAATTTCACATATACTGTTTTCAAGGTTCATCCAAGTTGTAGCATGTATCTTTACCACACCTAATTTTATTTATTTTATTTTATTTTTTCATTTATTTTTATTAGTTGGAGGCTAATTACTTTACAGTATTGTAGTGGGTTTTGTCATACATTGACATGAATCAGCCATGGATTTACATGTATTCCCCATCCCGATCCCCCCTCCCCACACCTAATTTTATTGCCAAATGATATTTCAATGTATGGATAATACCACATTGTTATTTCTATTTTCTTGGCTCTTATGAATAATGCTGCTGTGATCATTTTGTACAAGTCTTCATGTGGACATGTATTTTCATTTTCGAATCGCCACTCTTCGAAAGTGGCATAGGTCACTATGGTGACCATATGTGTCACCATAGGGTGACATAGGGTGTCTTATAGAGTGACTGTTAATTTTGAGGAATTGCCATTATTTTCCATTTTACATTGCCACCAGTGCCTTAGGAAGGTTCCAGTTTTTCAACATCTCTGCTAACATTTGTTATTATCACTCCTTTTATTGTAGGCATCCTGGTGGGTGTGAAGTGATTTGTGGTGGTATTGAATTGTATTTCTTTGATGATTAATGATAAGCATATTTTTCATATGCTTATTGGGCATTTGTATATACATTAAGTTTTTTCAGTGTTAATAATGTAAGGAAAAATTATAATCTATTTTTCCTCAGATGATGGAAACAAACTTAAAAAAAGTATTAGCATCAGAAAACAGAAAAAGGAATGCTGTTGAAGAAGAAAATGAAAGAGAATTTTATGGATCATTGAATATACTTCTGGAAAAAATAGAAGAAATACCAGAAAAAAAGGAAAAGACTTCAGAACTACAGGTTTCAGCAGAATGTAGCCTAGACACATCAGTGGTCCAACAGGATGTGAATTTACCAGGCATAGCTGATAAACTTCAAGAGCAACTGGGAGAGAAACCATCAGAAGACTCTGTTATTTCAGCTGTGCTTTCTGCAGATCCAGGTACATGGCCCCGAATTTTGAGTATTAAACAGAGGGACACTCTAGTTGAAAATGATCCACCTCAAGTAAGAAATTTTAACTTCCCAAAAGACAGTACAGGGAGGAAGTTTTCAGAAACTTACTATACAAGAATTCTTGCAAATGGTGAGAAAACCACTAGATCCTGGTTACTTTATTCGACCTCGAAAGATTCTGTGTTTTGTCTGTATTGCAAACTCTTTGGGGAGGGAAAAAATCAACTGAAGAATGAGAATGGGTGCAAAGATTGGCAGCATTTATCACATATTCTTAGCAAACACGAGGAGAGTGAAATGCACATCAACAATAGCGTTAAATATTCAAAATTAAAATCTGATTTGAAAACAAGTAAAATTGTTGAAGCTACAGAACACAGATTACAGGAGAGCGAGGGGAAGGATGGTATGAAGCTGTTGTACACCTTAAACCTGATCTGACATGACATGAAGAGGTCGAATACTTATTCAGAGCTGTACCCTGATAGTCTGTCCTTTGTGCTGAGGCTCCCAGACTGAGTGCTTCCTCCGCTCATTAGTAATGAGTATCATAGCAAGTTAACTTGTAAAGATGGTTTCTGCTCCAGGTTCTCGTGATTAATGTCCATTCCAGAGAAGGCAGTTGTTGATCTTTTCAGTCTTTCAGTTCACATCTTTTAAAATGGGCATTTCAGGACTGACTTTTGACTGGTGTGATCAATATTTTGTTCTGATTATCTTGAAAGAGGGAGAATAAGGCTTGAATTTATCAATACCAGTTGAATAAGATACATATGTGAACACGTACTGTTATTTAGAAATAGAATGGGATCTGAAGCTGCAGCTTTTTGCTAGTAAACCAAATACTTGTGGTTTATTTCATTTGAGCAAAATGTTATTATTTGAACAAAGTAGCATCATTTGTTATGTTAAATGAATTAAGGTGGTTAATTTGTGTTTTATTGGTTTTGTTTTAATTTAATTTATAAATATTGTAGCTTTTGTTGTCATCTGAAAACTATAAGCATAAAGAATATACCTATTTTTATGTTGTTACAAATATAAAATATATTGTTGGTATAAATATTAAAATAAAAATATATTAAGTTAACCTTTGTGTGTTGTGGCAATTTTTTTGTTTTCATCTGAAGGAAAAATACACTCATGAAAATTAAAAGATGGGTGTCAGTTTTTTCAGGTAGTCAGTCATGTTCCATCACCATGTATTTACTAATTCTTCCTTGTTTCTGGTTTCTGATAGCAGTTCTGTCATATATTCCATCCTTACATACCCTTGTCTCAAGGCTTTTCCTGTGAAACAAAATGGCATGTGAATGGTGGCTAGAGCAGGACCACATGGGGCACTTGCAGACTCTGTTGGTGAAGCCAGCACAGAAAACTTTGGGAAATAACCCAGAACATCAGTCTCATTAGTTTATAGCTGTTTTGCTTCCTGACAATTGGGTCGTTTTCACTGTTTCATACTTGGGTCTGAATGAGGCTTTGGAATAATTCCAAAATCCAGTTTCTTCAGAGGCCTCAGAGGATACCCCAGAGCATAACAGGTTCTGAAGTTACTCTGCAAATGTTTTGTGTGTTACTTTGTGAGCACTTACCAGTTAAATCGAATTACTGATTTGTCATGTGGTTGTATTAGACACTTGTGTAATCTGACCAAACTAATAAAATCAACCAGTGGCCATGTTCAGCACACTGCAGGCACACCTGTGAGGCACGTGTAATGAGTTAGGTGTGAAAAATTCAAAAGATGTAGGTGCTGAGTTTATCCTTGTTCACTAAATTGCAACTTTTTAGTGTGTATGAATTTTTCATAGTGAGATGTTGAAGAAAAAAATCAACTGTAAATTCTGAAGATAATAAAAGTATATCTCTCTAGCCTGGTGAATCATTTAGTTTCTTTTTCCTTATCTAGCTCTTATTTTTTACATTGTAAAATTAGTATGTGCTCACCTTAAAGAAGGAAGGAAGGAAACAAATGCAAGTCTTAGAAAAAAAAATTATCCCCTACTGCAAATTTAATATCAAATATTAGGAAAGACAGCTCAGAATAACAGTCCTCAAAAGATGGCAACTTACTGGTTTTGTTAATCTCACAGAGGACAACTGAATTTTTTTCATCAACCTCAGATTTTCAAAATTGCTGTCTTTAAGACCCTTACATTGAGCCATTTTCTTCTGTGAGTCCCCCGTCCCTCCCTACTTACTACTGGAGTCAAGTAAGAGTTGCTAATAGCCCTTTCATAGGTACAAGTCGTAATTTACTGCATAGGATATATAAGTAAATGAGTATTTGGAGTAAAAAGCTCAGCTAAGTTCAATGGAAGGAGTGATGCTGTATCATTATATAGGTTGCATCACTTCTGCTTCAAAGCTCGGAAGCTCCCTGTCACTTTCAGTTTGAAACTCCAGCTGCTTGGCATAAGGTTATTAGCTACAATTATCAGTGGCCAACAGTAGGGAAAGAAGTTGTGGATAAAGACAAAGTGAAGTACAAAATTTGAGAAGTGGAGCAGTCCTCTGTAATACTGAAACATAAAGGGTGACCATGTTAGGATGAAATTAAGATTTGAGAATTTAGAGCTGAAAGAAAAATGTGAGTAAGTACCTATGTCTTGGTTTTTGAGAAAGTGAGATAGTTTGGGAAAATAGTGGTGTAATGTTCCGGAGTAGAGAAGGTTTTGAAAAAACTGTTTTGCTTTTGGCTTCTGCAGGTAGAATCTTTGTTTCTCAACCAGGGACCGAACCCATGCCCCCTGCAGTGGAAGTACTGAGTCTTTACCACTGGGCCACCAGGGAAGTCCTAGGAGCCGAGATTGTATTGCTAGATGGTTATGAGTCTCTGCTGTGGAAGTCACATTTGAAGTGAAGAGCAGTTAACCCATTTCATGCCTACAGATAAAGCAAGGGAAGCCTGAAACTTGGGGAATGGCACTAACACCTCAGTCAGGCACATGTTGAAAAGACTTTCATAAGTCATATGCTTATAAATTAATAGAATTGCAAACCATTAGTTTGCCAAACCGAACTCTGGTCTGCCCACCTGAGGCACTGACCAGAGTCAATGCACTGACCCAGCTTGTGGAGAAGGAAGGTAATGTTTATTTGCAAGGTGCCAGCAAGTAAACCTGGCAGCCAGAGCTCAAAGGTCCCAGATTCCCTGGTGGCTTCAAGGCAAGTGTTTTTAAAGACTAAAATTAAGGGTAAGGGTCTTAAATGTGTGGACGTGGTTCTGATTGGTTGGGTCTTCAACAGGTTTCCGTCATTCTGGCTCCAGTGTGTCTGGGGGCTCTGACTGTTAAGCAGTTTCCATGAGTTTGGGCAAGCTCCGGGAATTGGTGATGGACAGAGATGCCTGGCATACTGCAGTCCATGGGGTTGCAAAGAGTTGGAGATGATTGAGTGACTGAACTGAACTGATTCCATGTGGTGGGGCCCTGGTTTCTGTACAATTATTCAAGGGTGTGCTCAGTTTTTTACCTACATTACTTGAGGAACTCGGGGAAGTTCTCAGAGACCAAAGCTGCTTCTACAGACAAAAGGTGCGGAACAGGGAGAGGCTTATACCCAGGCAGACCCCACAGGGTTCTACTCAGTTTCATTATTGAAACTGATTAAGGGATCAAAAAAGAGAGAAATAACCAATATGAAAGATCACTGGAGATCCTATGGACACTAAAAGCATGAGGTATTATGATCAACCTAGGTCAAGAATACGATGAGTTTGATGTGATAGACAAATCACTTGAGAAAAGCTTACCAAATCTGTCCCAAGAAGAAATAGAAAATCTGAATAGCTTGTCCCTATTGAAGAAATTGACTCTGAAATTACAAGCTTTCCCACAAAGAAACCTGTAGGCTCAGATTCCTTCTCTTCCTTAGGGATGAGATCTTGAACATACACTGCTAGAGAATGGAAAGAAAAGGGCTCGTCCCACTTTGTTCTACAAGGTGAGAAATACCCTAGACAAATATCAAGTAACAAAGTTAACAAATACCAAGTAAACAACACCACCTAACAAGAATAATACAAGAAAGAAAAATTATATGCCATCCTCTCTTACCCATTTATTTATTTTGGCAATGCCACACAGCTTGTCACCTTAGTTCTCTGAGCAGGGATTGAACCCTGACCCATGACAGTCCCAAGTCCTAACCACTGGACCACCAGGGAATTCCCTAAACTCTTAAAAAGGTACCAGTCACATCAGATTGGGGCCCCCTAGTGAAGTCATTTAAACTTAACCACCTCTTTAAAATGTCATCTTCAAATCCTCAGTTGCATTCGGAGGTCCTGGGGGGACAGGACTTGAACATAGGGGTTTCGAGAGGACACACCAGCTTCAGGGCTTGGTACAAGGACACTGCCTATCAGGCTTGACCATCCACTCTCAGCTTCATCCATGATCCTTCCTTCCATCCCTCAGAGACTTGCCTTTCTAATCCTCCTGTTTCCCTGAGAAGTAGACCCTGTCATGACTCCAGGTTCTGTGTGCATCATCTCTAACTGGTTTGACCTTCCTCTTCATCTCCTGGCTTATTTTTGTTTGCATGTTTGATTATCTGAGTGCAAAACCCTGCTCTGTGTTCATAATTGAAAAGTTGCAGACAATGCTTTAGATACTCTTACTTGGAATCCACAGGCTCCCGTAGAGAAAGGCTTTGGGGAGGCCCATAGCTCTCAGTCCTGCTTACATTGGGAATGTAAGCATGGGAATGGCTACCCACTTACATATGCTTATGTATGAATGAAATGAATGACTGTAGAGATAGAAGGGGTGGGAGGGAGGAATCAGGATTATTTTACTGTTGTAAATTACACTACTAGTGAAGTAATCAGTATAATTTGAAAGTGGTTTTAGGATTAGTTGTAAATAAATGTATATGGCAATATCTAGGGCAACCACTTAAAGTAGAACAATGAATACAACTGATATGCTATGAATGAGAGAAAATCAAACTATAAAATGCTTAATTAAAATCACAAAAGGCAGAAAGAGTGGTATACAAAAATAGGAACTTGATAAACCATAATGGAAAAGAATATGGAAAAGAATTTATATATGTGTATAAATGAGTCACACTGCTGTACAGTAGTAATGAACATAACACTGTGCATCAACTGTATTTTAATTAAAAACCATTAAAAAAATAGGAACAAACAATAAGAACAACAAGTGGAAAATTATAAAAATTTGATAGGGGCCTCCCTAGTGGTCCAGTGGTTAGGAATCTGCCTTGCAATGCAGGGGCGAGGGTTCAATCCTTGGTTGGGGAACTAAAATCCCACATGCTGTAGTGCAAGTAAGACCACTCGCTGCCAGAAAGGATCCTTAGTGCCTCAGCTAAAACCTGATGCACTTAAATTTTCCCAAAAAATGGTTGATAGTAATAAAGCTATATCAGTAATCACTTTGAACATCATTGATCTAAATGCACTAATTAGAAGACAAAGATTGTCAGGGTGGGTCAAAAAGCAAGACCCAATTCTATGTTGTGTATAAGAAACCCACTTTAAATAAAAGGCATATATAAATTAAAAGTATTTAAATGGGGGAATTCCCTGGTTAGGGACTTTCTGGGGGGCCTGGCTTCCATCCCTGGTCAGGGAACTAGGATCCCACAAGCCACATAGTATGGTCAAAAAAAAAGTTTAAGTGGATGATTGAAGGATACAAGGTTAATACACAAAAGTCAGTAATTTGTTGTTGTTGCTATTGTTGTTCAGTTGCTAATTTGTGTTTGACTCTGGGACCTCATGGGCTGTAATGTTTTTACACACCAGCAATGAACAAGTGAAATATAAAATTACAAACACAATACCACTTCCATTACCACCCAAAACAAATGAATGCTTAGATAAAAATTAACAAATTACCTAGAAGATGTATATGAGGAAAACTACCAATCTCTGATAAATGAAATCAAAGAAGTAAATAAATGGAGAGACATGCCATGTTGATGAATAGGAAGACTCTATTGAGATGTTCTGGAAGGGCAAAACTATGGAGACAGTAGAGAGATCAGGGGTTACAGGGGTTGGATAGGGAGAGGGATGAATAAGTGGAGAATAGAAGAGATTTAGAGTAGTGA